TAATGCTTTATATTACTGCTGTTTTTTTCATTGTGGGACTTTTTCTGGGCGTCACATTACAGAACGCAGAGTAAAGTAAACAAAAAAGCGATAATCGAGCGATAAAATGTTGGGCGGCGACGGCGACAAAGTAGAGGCGTAAATATCCTTTGCTGTTTGTAATAACGAAGCCTTTCAAAGACATGCTGAGTAAATATTCCTTTTTCTCTTTGTGCTCAGCGAATGAGTCACATTTCAGCGAGTGCTGGGAGCTCTTCTATTTCCCCAACAGCACCTGAGTACAAGCATCAGATCACTCCGAGTGTTTCTGCGTTAAAAAGAAGAAGAAGAGCTCAAGACCATCAGTCGCCGGGGTGGAGATTTGTCAAGCCAAAGGTCAGAGGTCGTCTGTAATCCTGGTAACTGGGTTTAATCTGGATTTAGGCTTGAGATGGAGGGAAAACAACAGCCTTCATCTCCTCCTCAAGCAGCTGTGTGGGCACGAGGGTCTGCCGGATGCACGTTCGTCGTGAGTCGACGTGAATAAAGTCGAGGAAGTTCACAAATCTGAGGTTATGATTTCCAAGAAGTGAGAAGAAAATGGCAGAAGAATTCAGAAATAAAGCACCAACAGTGTTCTGAGCGATCGATGTCAACCTGAGGGATCAGATCACAGCAGCTTCACTTGATAACACAAGAAAAAAGGCAGCAGGATCTAATCCAGTGTTTAAATCAACATCGCTGAACCGAGACCATATGCCGCCGCAAATGCAGCGACAACATGAGCCACGGGGCGACGAGGCATCTGCTCTGATTTGTTTTCTCACTCGGAGGAGGTTTTCTTTACTGATTTGGCTTCACACGGCTTTTTATTTTGATCTTTAACCAGTAAATTAGCAAGAAAATGAGCATTTACAGATTCTGTCTGATTATGCAGGTGGAGGGAGGCCTGCAGGCGCTTTATGAAATTTATTCAGAATTTGGCTTCAGATCACTACATGTACTATTAATAAAAACAAAAAACTGGAAAAAGTCTAAAAATAGGTGAAAACAGGCAAATATCTCTGAAATAAATTTTTAAAAATGTATTTTTTCAAACCTGACATACATGATTCATCTTGCAAAACACGACAAATAACTGTAAAATACTATTGTTGTTTTTTTTGGTTGATTTACATACAATAAAAACAACATAATTATACAGTCATGCATTGGAAAAGCATGAATTACCATTTGTAAAAACACTGATTTTTTTTCTCGTAGTTGGTCATGTTGCTCCGGATTTTTTGTTTTATTTACAGTTAATGTAAATTTTTCTGTGATTTTATTGGATATTATCCAACATTTAGCAAAACAGGAACAAATCTGTAAAATAACGGTTCCTTAAAATACACAACTTTACTTCAAAAACAGGCAACTATTGGGAAAATAACAGTGTTTTTGTGATGTAAATACAATAAGTTTAATATTTAAAAGAGAATACAGACTTTTGATTGGATATTGTTACAGTTCTGGCCTGTTTTGGGGTTTTGTTGTTGTTTTAAATATTTTTTTTTACAGTAAATTAAATTTTTTTTGTATTTTTTCAAGTTATTACCTGTTGACTGTTAAAATAGTTCAGCTGCATTGATTTCTGAGTGCTGTCAGTCAAAACATTCGATTTGGATGTGTGACCTTTGACTGCTGGTAATTTAGAGAGACACTTTTTTCAGTAGTTATTTAATAAATCAACTGAGTAGTTTGGAAAAACAGCCCTTAAACAATATGTTTCTGGCGCTTTTCTGCTGAATCTTACAGTCATCAGCAGTGAAAAGATCTTTATTTGCTGACAAGACAATGAGATGTGGTTGAAAGTTGCTGCTGTTTGAAGAATGAACAATTTGGGTAAATCTCTGTTCACATTACAGTTTAAACACACACAGTGGGGCTGATGGTCTATTTCTTATTTTATCTGAAGTGTAGAAGTGGAGACGTACAGCAGCGCGACAGTTTATTCTGCAGACATCAGCCCCGGCTGTCCTTCCTGAACGCAGAGCAAAAGTACAACAACACCGGCTCTGAAGTGACACCGAGTACATTATTTTAAAGGTTAGACATGGCGGGAAAAAAACAGCTGCTGATGATAATCCTACATATTTTTTGCTTTTTTTAAATAACCGAGCATCTGGGAAAAGGTCGCTTTCGTTCGCCCTTCTGCGGCAGCAAAAGGCTAACTCAGAGGGTGGCTGCGCTGACATTGCCTGTACCGTCAGACATGGCAAAATGTTTCGTTCTGGAGTTCTTAGTGCTCTGTTTGTGCACAGCGACGTTCCCCCGAGATGCTGCTCGGCTGGCGTGAGGCCCCGTTACAGTCAGAGCCCAAGAGACTCCCAGGTCAGCGTGTGCTGGAACATTCTGCATGCCGGGTGATCCTCCACACCGACCCCCTGCTGGGCCGCGATGGGCAGCGTACGGAGGCTGGTCATGCATGCGTTGACTTGATGAGACGCTGCTGCTGCTGCCGCTGCCGAGAAAGAGACTTGACTGACAGCGAGTTTCCACGTTTGCAGCTTAATACGAGCCACACACAGGCCATCTTGTGCTTAGGCATCGTTGCACTCTTTGACATTTTATTTACTCGATGGATTTTGAGGTTTTCTGAAATGGTTTTCTTCCTATTTAAACCTGCGTTATACTCCTGAGCTCCTTTTACTAGATGTAGACATTTTTAATCCCTATTTTGATGTCAGTTTTAACCCTAGCCTAGCATGACTATCCTGGAAAGCTAGTTGCTAGCCTAAAGACATGAGTGGCTGGACTGATAGTACTAGTAACAATCGTACATAGTCTACGGATTTGCCTAGAAATTTGTGACTTGTGATTAGCTTGGAATGCTAGTCGGTTGCTTTGGGATGCTAGTGAGCAGCCTTGGAATGGCTGTTGCTAGCCTAAGGATGGTAGTGATTAACCTAAGAATGCTAGCCTACATATGTTAGTGACTAGATGCTATTGACAGCTATGGGCTAGAATACTAGTCAGTGGTTTAGGGATACTAGTGACTAGCTTAGGAATGCTGGTTGCAATGCTAGAGATACCAGTAATTAACCTAGAAATGCTCGTGATTAGGCTTACAATACTAGTGACCTGCCTTGTGCCTGGCTAAGAATGCTACTGATT